AAATGTTAGAGGTCTTGAACGCCCCAACGGTTTCAATCTAGAAAAGTGTTTGAAGGTTAAGTCTTTTATATATTCCACACCAATTTACTTAAGATCTATTCATTTACCAAAATAACTGAATCTTACAATGTGAATAGTACACGCATGATCGTTATCAGTAAAATATGAAGAAAAAAGTGCATTTAAGAGCACAATGCAATGTATCATCCTCGAAATCAAGTATTAGTAACAACTAAATTTTACTTTTCCGGTTTTAAACAGCACATTGTCCTAATTTAAAAATACAGTTATACGCATATATATAATTCAGATACTATTAAAAAGCACAAGAAGTGAAATTTAGAGTACATAATACAGAGTCGGCTGTGAAATTATTGTTCGGAATCAGTTCATTAGCTGGACCTGAGGTATTATAAAACAGAAATTTTCACAGCTAGGATTTATAATTTTACCCAGTACACACAATATCCGTTACACGAAATTAAGGCTTTTGACAAGTGTTTGCATCTAGTAGTTTAACATATTCTAAATCTTAAAATTTATTTAAAATCATTCATCTTGCTAAGTGAATAAAAACTGAAAGACAAGAAAATAAGTACAGCAAAATACGACAGGTTAAACTGTTTTCAAGGAGTTGCCTTCATAGAACACTTGAGTAAAGGCCTTAGATCCCATTTTATTCCTCACCAAAGAAAATTATGAAATCTATACTGCCAGCTAGCCCTGGCTACAAACTGAATTACTATTAAAAATAGTAGCAATAGTAAATGACATATTTTTCCCTTCGGCCATTAGAGGTTCAGAATAATTCAAAAATAACACATTTAAAAAATAAATAAATAAAAATTAAAATTAATATAAGTAAATATTATTTATTTTTCTAATTTATTACGTAAAACTATTCGATTGAGAGAAAGAATTTTGGGAGTGTTAGTGTAATAAAGGGATTCTCAACCCTTTTCTTGTTTTTCGATCCCCGTATATTTTTCCTGTAATGTACAACATAATCATAATACAAATAGCTACATATAAATAATCTAAGGATAATAATTAGACTAAGAATACGGAGAAGAGTTTTGAAGAAAAAAAAAGGTTTCTTAGATTTATATTCTAAAATTTTTATTTTCTATTATTATTTTTAATTTCACAAATATAAACAAGTGTTCAGAAATAAAATCACAGATTCGAATAGCACAAAAGCCTGTTTTATTTAATATAATGGGTGTGCTTGGTGTACTGATGCAATTCTTCTTATATATATATATATTTGGCATAAATTGCCTAACTTAATTCTTAAATCACATCGTTCAGAAACATTCAACCAGTTTCTTGTTTTTCGTAAATTATTGACTTCACTAAATAAAAAGAGATGGTTAATCTGCTTCTACTAAATAAAAAGAGGGTTAGGTTATTTGAATATCGCAAAGCACACAAAGGTTATATGCCTAAGGTAAGAAATGATTTCATGAAAGATTTTCTTAGGAAAACTTCCTCGTATTCATGTTATATATGGGGCAAAGCACGAAAACAAATCATGCTGCCCGCCCGTTCGTTTTGTTTTGAAAGCGCGACAACTACCAGCATTCAGCAGGCTTTAATCACTCGGCCACAGGTAAGAAGAGAGAAACACGAATAATGTTGGTTCATTAAAAGCTTTTATTTTGGGATATTTTTCTTGTATAATCTTTGAATTCGGCATACAACCCCCCCCGAAAAAAAAGGTAGATTTTTTATTGTGGTTTATTAGTTTTACATTTTTCATATTTTTTCGGCAATAAATAATTAAATTTTTTATGCTCTTGCGTTTTATTTTTATTTCATTAAATGATTTTGATGTTTTTCCATTATATTTATTTTATACTGATGCGTGCACATGCGTTCGTAATGGATTGAATGCACGCAGATGATAGCTTAATAAAATTTATTCTCCCAAAAGAAACACTTACCATGAAAGTACTCGTACAGCTCTTCTCAATATTACAGAGCACAATCAGTAGTTACCAGTTTTAAATAAGAAAGTTAAACACAAAGCAATGCAAAGCGCATCTAAAGAGAATACGAGATTGCGAGATCTCGTACAGAAATCTCGCAATAACCCCTAAGTCAATTTTGAACTAAAAACTCTTAACTCAAACTGAAACTGAGACTCGATATTATACCAAACAATTGTTGAATTCAACGTTGCCGATTCCTGAAATAAAGCCCAAAGGCACATGGCATAATCAGCACCGGACGTGGGAAAATCTCTGAAGAGAAATCGGAGGCAAGGAAAAAAAGAAAAAGAAGGGTGACCAAAAAGGTCCAAATGGCCAAAGAGAGAATCAGACAAGTACCTCAGAGCATGACGAAAGTCGGAAAGAATAACTCTAAAGTTATCCAAAGTTCAAAATTCAGGATACAAAATGCAATATACAGTCAAGATACACTATGTAAAATACAACCTACAAGAATATACTGATACAAGATGCAATAAAAAAAAATCAGTAAGTACAAACAGCAAAATTATAAATGCAGAGAAGAAATCCATACATATGTAGTATCAACAAGAATTAAAATCTAATAAGTGATATAAGTATAGGCAACCACCACCGAGGAGCTCAAGTAACAAAATTTTGGTCGCCATCGATGATAGTGTGTGCAGCAAGAGGTCTATGTCTCTATCTTCATAGACTATCTCATAAAAACTTAGCATAGTTAACGAAGTCATATGAGCTGGCCTTAGAAAAGAATTTTCTTGTTAGTTCTTTTGATGAATTAAATAAAAGTTTCAACTTTTAAATCCCTGTGCAAGAGTTCATTTCTGACAAGGTTATCGGCATCAGTAATAATTCGTAGGAATTTGTTTTGAAACACTTGAAGCTGATAAAGTTGGTTCTTCGTAGCAGTGTTCCATGCAGGAGCAGCGTAACAAAGTATGGGCCTGATGCATGTAGTGTAAATATGCTTCTTTGAGATTAGAATATTTCCCGATAAGAGAGACAAACCTGCTCATGATATCAATAGCTTTGCTTTTGACGTTTTTGATGTGGTTTGAGCATTAATTCTTTGATTCAAAATTATACCCAATTATTTGGCATGATTAACGATGGGAAGTGGTTCTTGAAACAAGAGAAGCTGTTTAAAGTTGGTGTGTTTCCTAGTCTTGCCGAGGATGAGTAGCTGAGATTTGCTTGCATTGATTTTGACACGCCAGTTGGTACACCAATCTTCCACCGTGTAGAGATAGCTCTGCAGCTTGGTTAATTGCGGGGTTGGCTTTGATATATCTGACGGCTACCGCCGTATCGTCGGCGTAGCAAGCAAGAAGTGAGTAGTTGTCCAGCCCGCGATGCGGGAAATCAGATATGTAAAACAGATAAGAGTATGGAACCTAAGACACTACCTTGCGGCACACTGGATCGTACAGTTCTTAAAGCAGAAGTTTCGTTGCCTTGGGGGACGAAAAAAAGTACGTTACTGATTTTCTCTTTTCTTTAGGAATCAATTCTCTGTGCTAAGAAAAATCAATCCTCTGTGATGTTGTACATAAACTTAGTATTAAACCCGTGCAAAAACGCAACAATATTATAAGGTTTAACTTATTAAACACGAAAATTTCAATGAGGTGATGCTAATTTAGTAATGTTAAATAGCCGTATCACGACACGAAAGACTGTTAGATCAAACGCACCACTGTACCAAAATTGTTAAATATCTGAAAAAACAGAGATAGCATTGAAAGAGTGAGGGTATCTGAAATCCATACGTACTTAATATAAGTACTATTACTAATGTATTTCCGATCGCTTGCAGACCTAACGACGAAATCCAGCAGTCGTTACGTAATCAAGCTGTGACGTCATTCTTTCGATTACGAACTGCGAAAGCGCGAAGCAATAAATTAGGGAAATTCACCTATAGATGATGGACGATTGACGTTGCAGCAGAGACACTGCTTCTGTTAAAAAGAACTATGAGGAATAATTACTTTTTCCTTCTCGTAAATGTTAAATTTACGTTATAATCGTCTGTCTTCATTAAAATGTCTTTCGTTAATTAATTTGTTCATCGTTTTGTCCCGACACTAATATTTCAAAATACAATAATAAAATCTACCATGTAACGCTAATTAAACCGAGTATGTGAAGACATTGCGTTGTGTTTTAAAAGTTTTCCGGGCTCGCATCGGTTGAATGGCCAGACACTCGATTACGGAAAAATACTCAAAACATTAATTTAAAACATACTGAGGCTAACATCTAAACTGTTAAATAAATAAACCATTAGCAATCATGAGGATAAATAATAATAATAAATTGACAGACTCTACTATTACTATTCTGATTTATTTACTAAGGTTAAATCTTGACTGACAATTCGGTTTTACATGACTGTAAAGTTGTAACAGTTGTTGTTCGATTTTACAGTAACTGTTAAGTTTTCCATATCGGAAAATAATTTCTATCAAGCTATCATTCGGTTCTGTGTGCATTCAGTTCGCTAACGATCCTGTACGCACGTAACAGTATAGTCAATGTTAATATTACTGCTTCACAAAATAAACTTTAAACTTTCCATGTACTACATACACATAGTGCTGAGCTTAAGGAATTATTACATATTATTTCTCAAAACTCAAATCTTTTTGAAAATACAAACATCTCCCATATATAAACTTACTTTTTCGAAATATACTGCAAAGGAAAATTAATGTTAAAATTTTAAATATCGGTAATGGAAAACACTTTTACTTTTAAAAGAGACTTTTTGAAATTTAAACCATTTTTCTGAAAGAACCTTTAACTTCCTTTATGAGTATTTCATTAAACTTAATGGCAATTGACGACTGTCATCATTTTAAGAAATAAATATTAACGAACAATTTGGATTAAATTTATTTCCTTTCAGTAAAGTAGTGGCACTTAAAACATACGAAACTTTCAACTCTGTATTACTATAAATACGGCGGTGACACACAGTTCAGATAATATGAGCTAAATCATTTCACAAAATATACATACCATTTGTTGCAATTTATTTTCACAGTCTGTCCAAGATAGTACTTTCGGCCTTGATAATGGCAAACTGTAATAAAGTAAACAAATTTAGGTTGTACAACATTATAAACATTTTAAGCTCATTATAATTCTTAATATAACCTTTTGATATACTATGGAGCATTTTATGAACTTTCGAAAATCGGAAACATACCTCCCAAAAGAGCTTTAACATTTTTTAAAAGACTAATTAATATCTTCGCTAAATATACTGAATTTATAGTAGCACATCGTTAAAATTAGGAAAAACTGCAACATTATTTTGGCTTTTTTTCCTTCCAGAAGAAGACAGGTTTTGGCAACCGCCGTTGATTTCCCTAGCGCATGCGCATGATAAGCGAGTTCTCTGCTGCGTAACACTTATACTTAGTTAATAGGTAGTTAACAAAAGTCAATGGTGAGTATTGCATGTAAGAGAGAAGTGCAAAGCGCTGTGTAATATCATGTTTCTACGCTGCTGTTCAACGTTTTCATAGTTAAAATAAATGTTTGTCATGTATATCGAAGACGTCATTTTATTATTCATAGGTTATGGGCCCAGATAGCGCTAACTGTGCAGTGCAACTACCATTGTTAAATTTCGGCAAGCCAAGCAGCGTCGACTGAAATGAAAATGGCGACGACTAATACAGTGTCAATTGAAAAGCTAAACAAGGACAACTTTGATACGTGGAAGTTGCAAATGGAAGCAATACTGATTTAAAATGATCATTGGGACTATGTAACTGGGAAAATTCCGAAACCAGAACCTGGTGATGAAGAATTTTCTAAATGGAAAACTACTGACCAAAAAGCACGAGCGGATATAATCCTATCCATCTTACCCAGTGAACTTCCACAAGTAAAGAATTGTGTAACATCTCACGAACTGTGGCGTAAATTGCATTCTATTTACGAATCGAAGGGACCAGCTTGGCCACAATTCTAAAAAAATTGCTTTTTACAAAAATGAGTGATTCTAAACAAATGACTGTTCATCTAAATGATTTTTTTCATTCTTGTGGACAAACTGAAAGAAATGGAAATAAACATTGCGGATGATTTGCTTACAATATTGCTTTTATATATAGCATACCGGACTCTTATGAAAGCTTTCGAATAGCAATCGAATCTCGTGATGAACTGCCTTCTCCAGAAATGCTGAAAATTAAACTGTTGGAAGAAGCTAACGCTCGCAAAAATAAAGATTCAACGTTTTCTGAACCACAACATGCGTTCTATTCGAAAGATCTGAAGTATACTCAACGACCGGTTCCTAAACTGAAACCAGATGAGTCTGCAAACCGAAGACAGTATCCAGTTAACTACAGATGCAACTTCTGCCATATCTATGGGCATAGAGCATCGGAATGTAGGAATAAAAAATAAAGAAACTAAAAGCAAACGCCTCAGTGAAACTGCGATGTCTACAGAAATTCGGAATTCCTTGGAGCGAGAAAAAGCATGCACTAATAGTAATTCTAAAGACATTTTTTGTCTGGATAGTGGTGCAACATCGCATATGTGTAACAGCAAGGAACTGTTTCAAGAAATTCACGAGGTAGGTGATACTTATGTTAAATTAGCTGCTGATAAAACTGTTAAAGCTATTGGAAAAGGAACTGTTAAATTTAAAGTTCGCATAGGTTCTAAAACTGAAAATATCAAACTCAAAAATGTATTGTGTGTACCTGATTTGAAAAATAATTTAATCTCAGTGTCTAAAGTAACTGAAAATAATCTTTCAGTAATTTTCAAAGAAAAATGTGCTCAAATAATTAATTCTAATAACGAAAACAGTAATTTTAGCTAAACGCGAAAATGATCTTTATTTTGTCATGCCAATATTTGAATCTGTATCAATTGCTAAAGAAATAGATCAGTGGCATATAAGATTTGGCCATTTAAATGAAAATGATCTTAAAAAACTTCAAATAAATAACATGGTTAGAGGTCTTTCTTTTTCTCAAAATGACTCTCTTTCTACTTGTAAGGTATGCATTCAGGGTAAACAAACCGCAACCCCTCTTCCCAAAGAATCTGAATATAGAAGTACTGAATTGTTGAATCTAATTCATTCTGATTTGTGTGGTCCCATGAGAACTGAATCAATCGGTGGATCATTTTATTTCGCAACATTTATTGATGATAAATCTCGATATGTTCGTGTTTATTTTCTGAAATCTAAGGATGAGGTTAAAGAAGCTTTCAGAAATTTTAAAGCATCTTTTGAAAATAAACTTAACTCTAAAATCAGAATCCTGCGAACCGATAACGGGCTAGAATATTTAGGGAAAGACTTTAATAAATTTCTTAATGATGCGGGAATAAAACACGAAATGAGCACTCCTTACACGCCAGCCCAGAATGGCGTCGCCGAAAGATTAAATCGCACTTTAGTTTCAATGGCGCGATGTTTGTTATTGCAATCCAATCTGCCTCAGAAATTCTGGGCCGAAGCCGTCAATACGGCTGCTTACATTCGAAATCGCTGCCCCCAACGCGAGGTTTAAAACACGAAATAAAAACACCTTACGAAGTGATGTTTGGCAGAGTACCTGCTGTCTCTCACTTCAGAACCTTTGGCCAAAAAGCATTTTCGCTAAATAAAAGGCCAGGAATAGGCAAATTTGATATTCGATCTAAAGAATGTATTTTTATTGGCTATTCTGATGAATCAAAAGCGTATAGACTTTGGGATCCCGAGGCATGTAAAGTGATAATAAGCAGAGACGTAAAATTTATTAATGAGTTTGAAAACTGCTGTAGTTATGACTCAGAGCAAGAAATAAATCTGCCTTTCGCTCCGGAGGAAAAAATTATAAATAAAACATGTTGTGAAAAAATCATCACCTCTGGACGGTAGCGAGTCGCCACTTAAACTCTGAAGCTGAAAACCGGAAAGCGGAAGTGATTTAGATAGCGAATCAATGCTTCCTATCCTGATTAAAAGGGGGCCTGGTCGACCCAAGAAAACTAAAAACAGGTTTGCCAGGAAGGCCTAAAAAGGAATATCACTATACAGTTGTAAATAAAAATGAACAAACTCAAAATGTTGTTGAGGAAAGCATTAATCCTACGGTGCAAGAAGCATTAAATGGACCATATGCTGAAAATTGGCATAATGCCATGCTGTTAGAATATAACTCGCTTGTTCAAGAAAAGGCTTGGGAATTAGTAAAAAGACCTGAAAACAAGAAAGTTATTGGTAGCAAATGGGTTCTTAAATTAAAATATAATCACGACGGCACTATCGAAAAATACAAAGCTAGGCTAGTTGCTAAAGGGTGCGCTCAAATCCCTGGTCTCGATTTCACTGAAAACTTTTCCCCTGTTGCTAGATTAAGTTCCATAAGAACAGTTTTAGCCTACGCAGTAGAACACAATCTCAAAGGTTACCAATTAGATTTTGTAATGGCCTATGTAAATGGAAATTTAGATGAAGAAATCTACATGGAAATTCCCGAAGGTTTTCGCGATGAAACTAATTCAGATAAAGTGTGTCTTTTAAAGAGATCATTATACGGTCTTAAACAGTCAGGACGTCAGTGGTACAAAAAGTTGGATGAAAAATTGAAATCTATGAAATTTAAATCTCTTAATTCAGATAATTGTGTTTATATTAAAAAGACGCCTAACAGTGAAACTATTATAATCGTTTATGTAGACGATCTTATCGTTTTTTACCGATTCTAAGCAAACGTATGAAACAATTCGCGATAGTTTAGCTTCTGCTTTCAAAATGAAAGACTTGGGAAGGGAATTACATTATTGCTTAGGAATAGAATTTTACCAAAATGAGAATTCAATTAAAATTTCTCAAAAGAAATACGTTGATGATATTTTAAATCGGTATAATATGCAAAATGCTAAATCCGTGTCTTCACCTATAGATAACAGCAAAAAATTATCAAAAGAGATGAGTCCTAAAAACGAAAACGAAATCGCTGACATGAAAAATGTTCCATTTAGAAATCTGATCGGATCACTAATGTACCTTTCAGTAGCTACTAGGCCAGATATCACATACGCCGTGAATTTCTTAAGTCAATTTAACAACAATCCGGGAAAAGAACATTGGCATGCTGCGAAAAGAATACTTCGATATCTAAAGGGAACACAAGATCAAGGACTAATTTATACGAAAACAGGAAAACCACTCATCGCCTTTGTGGATGCAGATTGGGCGTCAAATGTCGATGATAGGAAATCCTACACCGGTTTTGTATATATATTAAGTGGTTCAGCCATAACCTGGGAATCACGAAAACAACGCAGTGTAGCTCTATCTTCAACGGAGGCGGAATATATGGCTCTGTCTGAGGCCGCCAAAGAAGCGTCTACCTACGTCGTTTCCTGAAGGAGCTGGGTTACAACATAGAACACCCAACAACAATATACTGCGACAATCAAGGAGCTCAGAAAATTACGAAGAACTCTGTGTTTCACTCCCGTACAAAGCACATAGACATTCGCCATCATTTTGTGCGTGAAGTGTATGAACGCGGTGAATTAGATGTGAAGTACATACCTACCAGTGAAATGGGAGCTGATGTGTTAACCAAACCCCTGACTCCTGTTAAACATCAAAACTGTTGTACAATTATAGGATTGAATACTGTTTAATATGTATTTTGTTTTACTTTTCAGGAATAGGAGAATCAACGTCGAAAGGGGGTATGTTGGCAACCGCCGTTGATTTCCCTAGCGCATGCGCATGATAAGCAAGTTCTCTGCTGCGTAATACTTATACTTAGTTAATAGGTAGTTAGCCAAAGTCAATGGTGAGTATTGCATGTAAGCGAGAAGTGCTAAGCGCTGTGTAATATCATGTTTCTACTCTGCTGTTCAACGTCTTCATAGTTAAAATAAATGTTTGTCATGTATATCGAAGACGTCATTTTATTCTTCAACAGGCTTGGGTCTGATCGCCTTCAAAATCGATAGTTTTATTTAAAATCTACGCTAAGTTTGGTATTACTATTTGAGTACAGCATTATTGTTTCCTGAGTAGAACTCATATTACTAGTCATATAAACATGTTAAATT